CGCATACGGGCGCACTGGACGTCAATAGGTTAATATCAAGTATTTTTTAACTAGTTCCATGGATGGATACTCCAATAACTAAGCTAGTCATAGACCTCCCTACTGAGCTAAGCCATATTAGTCAAACTGCTGTAATCATTAAAATAGATTTGTGTAAACTTTGATGTTCCAAAGATGTACTTATTTAGAATCTCTGATGTAATTTGCTTTTCATTTCTATGTCCCAGGTGTCCTGTCCTCTGAGTACCAAATTCATGATTTTTCACTCAAAAATGCAAGAGTGCATGCTTTACGTGCATGTAATATGACAAATCCAATTCTTAACTGTCCAAATCTGTGGCCCAACATATACAGAGTACCAAATTAATCATCTGACTAGCTTAAGGATCACTAAAGGACAGCAGAGACTGTAGGGTCAGATTGGGTGGTTGGGGGCCCTCCTCACAGTACTTCCCTAGTCTGCCCCAATTTTTACCACAGCTTGACTCTAAAGCAGCCAACTCATAGAATAATTCAGTCAATCACAAGACTGATCAAGTGACTCTCTGAATGGCACACCATGTAATAATTATTTAACTGATTGAGTCTTTTTGAATAATGGAGACTCACCCACGAAAAGTGTCCAAGGATTTAAGCCTTTGTTTCTTTGGCTTTTCACGCTGAAAAATAGTTTGAGAAATGAATTTTTGATCTCTCATATCTTAGAAAAATTTAAATTAGTAAATACTCAAATTAGCGCCTGGGGCACTTATCAAATTTTCTAAGGCGAGAGAGGGGGCACTAATTCAAAGGGGGTGCTTATTTGAAGGGGGGCACTTATTTCATTTATCAATGTTTAGCCTCAAAATGACACCATTTTTATGTCTATTTACAACCAAACTGCAACATAAAAATCCAAAAACCTTGTAGAAAACTACTTTTTGCGAACTCCAAATAAGAAATGAAGAAATAAGAAGCAAACCCGTGCGACTTTGAAAGGACATTACTGTTTATACTATTTAACAATGTCACATTTCATTAAAAGAACCATATAAACCGTACACGTCTCGTATATTGTACCGAGTACCGAAACTCATTTTTCTCAGGGGATGGGGGGGGGGTGCTTATTACAAATTTTGAACCTTAGGAGGGGTGCTTATTCGAAGCAGGGCACTTATTTGAAGCTGGGCGCTGATTCGAGCATTTATGTGTATGATTCAATTAAACTTACCAATTCATCATGATCAATATGATGTGCTGAACCATCCACTGGGCCATTGAAATTAGGACTTCCAAGATCCTGATCAACAAAGGTGAATAAAAACAACTTTATTCTACCTAATTTCATTGACTGCTACATGATTGTTTATATACTAAGAGAAAATGCACAGAGGAAGCAAAAAAAAATACAGTCTCTAATACTTGCCATCAGTAAGAAAGTTGCCTGGAGTTTAAAAAAAATTGGTTTCAAGTAAAAAAAACACTGTTGTCCTCAAGTAAAGAAAATACAAATCAAACCATTTTGAAACCATTTTGAAACCATTTTAATCTGAAACTCATTTTAAGAAATTACTTTAAAGTGCAACATATAGCTTTAAGCAAACAGTTGATGCTGATTTCATTGTTAAGTACAACAAAATTAATGCTGTTGTCCTGAAGGAAAGGAAAGACAAATCAAACTATTTTGAAACCATTTTCACATGAAACTCATTTTTTAAAACACATAACTTTTTCAGGCACAACATAATTATACAGCCTGTAGCTGTAACCAAAAGGTTGATACTACAGCTAAATATAATTATAAATGTCCATTTGTTCATGTCCATCTGCTTGTCTAATTTGTTGACTGGGCAGTAATAACATTACTCATTGTTTTTATTTATTCATTTATTTATAGTTCATTTACTTTCCATGACAGATGGTACCCTAACAATGTCATCCCATATGTCATCATGCTTACCGCATTGATAAGACTTTCTGTGTCATGAAACAGTTCCCAGCTGACCAAGAGATTGTATTTCCTATTAAATCAAACTTGTCAAAGTCAATGCTGAAGACAAAATTGTATTTTCTACATGTAGGGAGAGTTTTCACTAATTTACATTCAATTTGACAACAATGTGAAAAAACTATTTACTGACCATGGTTCAGTACTTCAAGCTGTCCCATTTTGGTCAACATTTAACAGACATGTAGTGTACATGAAAGTTGAACAGGAAGCAGCTGTATTGGCTTCATTAAATCAGCATCCTATCTATGGTGTAATTTGTTAGGAAAAAGGCAGCTAGAGACAAAATAATAGACTGTAAATTAACTTTCAATTCTTACCTTAGAAGATATAGAAGCACCAGCCAAGTTAAGGCAACTCCAAAAGTAACCAGAAATGCGAACAACAAAGCTGAAGACAAATGAAAAGTTAAAATTGTCAACAAGAAAATATTATAGACTAGTCTTGCAAAAATTCATTTTTATGTCTTAAAATCAGGGAGCAAAACTCAGGACCACAAACCATAAATAGGTGAGGGAGCTTCAATTTTGTTTACAAGTTTGGTTGTTTGTTTGTATTTTTTTTTAACATGGCCCAAGATTATGTTTGATTCCCAGATCACATACCACACTGTCTACAAAAAGTCGCCATATTATATCCTACTGGATGCAGCGTTTTCCTTTTCAGGCACTCATGGGTAAACTTAAACATAATTATCCATTTTATCTAAGGTGATTCCTCACCTAAGGTTATCGAATCATTTTATTTTTATCTTTTCCTCAATGCTCTAGACCAATGTCTGTCTCATAAAATACAATAAAATTGATAGGTCACTGCACTTGTTTAAGAGATACATGTAAGACGTGCTAAATTAACCACATTAATTTTATACCTGAACTGGCACTGATCATGTGTTATTTAATTCATTCACTTTCCTTTGATAGTTATTAGGCAAAAAGTTTTGAGCCTATGGAACAATTTGATACAGTTGTGAAAAAATCACACAATTTTAAGGGACAATAACTCAAAACATTTCTCCAGTCCATCTGTTGCTCTGTTTCAAGGTCATAATTTGTGTCCTTGAGTAATGGGCTTCATGCATGATTTTAGCTAAGAATCTTTTTCGATTTCTCCAATTTAGAGGGGTATTCTGTACAACAAAATTATGCTTTATAAAATTTAGGTCACTGTGCTTGTTCAAGGGCTTAAGACCATAGTACCTCTTTACCTGGTTCATTGATTGCAAAGCAAAACCATGTTCCCAAAATGCACATGTGCTTACTTGCCTGATTAGATAATTACATAATATTTTTATGTACAGTACAGGATGTGCAGCACAATACTGAGGAATCACCTTAGATTTACTTTAATTTATTTAATAAAAGTGGAAATAAAGATATCCACTTTGAAAGTGCAGAGCTCTGTAAAAACTTACGTAAATAGGCATTGTCTGGATCTCTTTTTCCAATTAGAGAACAGCTATCAGGTCCATGGATGGTGTAAATATAGAAGCCATGTTCTCCAAATTGGGTTTGGTTTCTAAAACACAAGTGTACTCAAATTACTGTCATATCATTAAACAGACCAGAAGAGTTTATTTCATCAATCTAATAATTATTTTCTTGCAAAAGAATATCTAAATACATGCCTGTTTTGAGAAGTACATGGAAATTTGTTGAAGTTCCAATGCAAGCCATAAAGCATTTCAATTATTCATTAAATGCAAAGGCTGTTTTAAACCTCTAATTGCCCCTGGGCTTCTGCTAAAGTTAAGACTTTTCAGTATCATTGAGAAGTTTTTGATGTAGCTTTAAAGTTACTGATTAATTATTTTTGTACTTACTTGCATACAAGTGTTCCTTTGGAGTTCTTGACAAAAATTGTAAATGGAAAATTTGTTTCCACAGTTATATTAAGAGAGTGATTCAAGTTTTTGACCAAAGGTTGAAAGGTACACTACAAAATAATGTAAAAAATACAAAACAATTATCAGTAATTACAAAACTCTATGGCAGAACAACCATGAATTAATCATTATATTTAAACAATAATGATCTCTGTCAACTTATTCTACAACACACTAGTGCACAGACCACAGCCTTCAATTGAAACTTTGATATAATATAGAAAAAAAAATGGGTATTGGAAATTAAGAGGAATTAACAGCAGTTGTAAATTGAGTAATATGTAGCTTCTCCCTGATAGAGGAAGTAGCACCAATACAGTCATCACTGTAATGATTGTAGAGTTCAGGTTTGGGGCCAGTATGTTGAATGGAAATGACTTAAGAAAACATTGGCGAAGCTGGGTCCCATTTTGGTACCCATGGCTATGCCATGAGCAGGGCTAAAAATTAAGTCCAGTGCTTGGTGGCAAGTCGCGCCAGTTTCCTTGAATTCTAAGTGGCCCATCCCAAAATGAAGTAGCCCTCAATTTCCTCTAGTTTAAAATGAAGAACTTGAATAAATACCCCATGGCTTTTATTCAAGTTTATTCAGGCACAGAACTCTGGGTAAGTCCAGAGTCACGTGGCAATCACAAAATCAAAATGGTGTCTATATGTTGTGAATGTGGATCACTCATAAAATCACTGTTAAAATGCTCGGAATTTTCACTTCAGAACTAAAAGTTCACTAAAATGGATGATCTTAGAGTACAGGCAAAGAAACGAAGAGAAAGGTAGTCCAATTGAACTACAATCATATGGAGTTCTATTTTTAACTTTGTACTTCCCATAATTTACATTGCAACTTTTTGAAATTCCGTAGCATAGTTGCACATCGGGCATTCAAAGCTTAACTTTTGGTGGCCTTGGTCAGTTTTAACTCGCCACTGGCCACTGTGCAACCGTGCAACAATTTTTAGCCCTGCCATTAGTTCATTTGTAATAGTTGCTGCCAAATGAAAAACAATTGAGTGTTCAAGGACTAGTTCAGCTATGCAGAGTAGTGTTTTAGAGCTAGGTTCCTCAGCAATACATCAAGATCAAAAAAGTGTTTGAAGGCTGGAGAGCTTCACCATTGGAAATGACGGTATAAAGAGATATAATAGCAGTAGTTAATAGACGTTGTCTTGACTGAAAAAATTAAAGTTGCAAAAAATTTCAAGGTGTGATGGAAAAGTTTTGATGATAGGTGCTATAATTTTGTCTAAATAGCTGGAAAGAAATTTGGTGGGACAGCTGTAGGACGAGACAGTGGGTCAACCTGGGTTGTTGGAAAAGTGGATTTTAAACAAAAGGCTGATGGAGAGAATGACTGATTTACTCACTGATTCACAAACAGACTAACTGACTTACTCACTGACCGACTGACTGAGTTTTTTACTGATGAACAGTGATGAACAGAAACTAAGAGATGCCAGAGTAAGGATTGAAGTACTGTTAATAAACAATTATTCCATGAGCGCGCGTTGGATATAAGATGATAGATAGCCAATGAGGCGCGTAGCGCCAAGTTGGCTATAATCATCGCATATCCAACAAGCGTGAGTGGAATAATTGTTTTATTAAAAACGTTAAATTAACTTATTAAATTTTTTAAATTTTGAATTTTGAGCTCCCTTTTAATTTTAAGCTGACACGTACGCTTGCCATATTTGTAGATTATGGTATATTGGCTGATATACCATATTGGCTAAGCCAATAAAAAGTCTTGAATTGCATTATCCAATGATCTAGTTTTTAATAATAACAAATATATCATGGTAGTACCCCATGGCAGTTACTAGAGATGCCAAATACATCAACTTTTCCCTTTATATTTGAAGTCAAGCTCAGTTGTAGCAAGGCTGTGTCCATTGGCAGTGATTCCAAGTCAGACTTTGATGGCGAATGGAGACTTGCAAGCCCTAAATGATCAAGAATTTAACATAATGAAAACTGTTTTGGTAATAATATTTATACATGTACATGTGTATCATCTGCCAATACAATACAACTGTATGGCAGTGAAATCCATGGCTTCATATTTTCAATGATTTTTCAAATTACATCGCAAAAAAAATCATCACAAAAAGTAATGATAAAAAAATTAAAAATAATTTTTCCATTAAGCAAAAAGTAAGACATAGAGCCCAGAAAGACGCATCAAGCATTTAAACGTTTACATCAAAAGTTTTAATACTTAGCTTTTTTCTCGCTCCTTAAATTGTATTTATTGCCTAAATTTTTCCCAACTTTTTCGCATCTACTCTTCAAAGAAATCCCCGAAGTCACATGATTCCGGGAAGGAAATTGCACTCGAAGGATTTCAGGGGGGAGGAAGAGAAAATTCTGATGGTAACGATACCTGAGCAAATTCTAAATCTGACAATCAAGAGCTACTCGATCTCTCTATCCAAAACTTTTTACTCAAGACACTAAATTTGAGTGTGTATTGCACTCATCATCATTCAAATCCAAGGACATGGCCCAATGATGAAAGATTGAGCAATTCAAACACCTTCGATGCATATTTGGGCTTACAGCCCGTTTCTGGAACAGCTTGTGCCTTCGTTATTGAGAGTAACTGTGTCTTAGTCATCTTATAAATGTAAACTCACCTAATCTTCGAGTAGAAAGCAGTGCAAGAACCAAAAACATAATAGAAAACGCCATGAATGTTATGTGACCGTCTAAACGGATTTCCATGGAACAAAAAGGATCAGAAAGAGACTGGAACTAGAAAGACCATCGGAAGCTGGAAAACGGACGGGGGAATAAAGGGAACTAGCAGTCGAGAACTGTTCGAATGTTTTCATTAATTTTATTACACAAGAGTCACCAACACTTTGGGGAGATGAAATTACAGTTGAAGATTAAGTTTAGTTCTAATTCTAATTCCTTTTAGCATTGGTCTCGACTTTAGACTGATCACGAGACGAAACGGTCACGAAAGGTCACAAAACTTAATTCGATTACAAAGTATTCTTTGCCAGTGTAGTTGTTCAAAGGACAGCTTTTAAAATTAAACCCTTTTCCTTCAATAGTAAAATCACCCGTAGCTCTGTCCAAGGTATCCAGTCATACTGTATTCTCGAAGTTTCTTATGACTCAGTGATAAATCTATCACCTCATATCAAATTATACTGAAAAAAAGGCTCCCGTATCAGCAGTCACGATAAATTGCTTCTTCGACAAAAAAATAATTTGGGGCATGCGGGAAATATTAGAAGTAAATCATTTTACAGATGCAGTGACCCCAGTGTGACATGAAAACCTCTCGTATTTCGTCGAAGAATTCTGTTTCCGTGTAATTTTCTCCCTTTTACTCCCATGGTTTTTAATGCTTATTTGTCTTACTGCCAAATATTTGAATTCTATTAGAAAATATCGTGTTACATCACTAAATGATCAAGCTTTTCTCAGTAATAACTTTATCTAATACACACGCCCTGTTTCCTGCATAATGTATCAATAATGCAAAGCAAAGTTCTGGTGTTAAAGCTCTTTTGGCTCTCAGACAGATAAATATAAATATTTTCTTTGCATGACGCTTGTAGACAGGTCACGGAGGTCAAATTATAAAAACCCGCGTCCCTTCTTACATTTCAGTTTCAAGCTTTTCTGCTTACACTTATCATTACCGAGCTGAGTACACTTGACCGCGAAGCATGTCTTCAAGGCGCATCTTTTCCGCGGCCTTCCTCGTGCTGTGTTTAACTGGTTAGTACAAGTATTCATATGCTATCGTTGGCATGAAGCAAGCGCCCGTTTTTCTCTCACTTCTGGGCGCTTCAGCCACAAAACTTGAGCATTGTGTTCCTAGCTGCTTATCTCCTTTTTCCGTCTTCATGATAAAGGTCGTTATAACTCACGCTCTTTTGAAAAACATCCCTGCGCTAATTTGAAGTTCGTGAAACAGTTAAAATGGCGAATATTTGATAAAAATCGGCCATGGTCGACAGGACATTTTCAAATGGGAACATAGCTCAGTCCACAATAATGAATTTAATTATGCGGCCAATGCTGTGTGTTCCGTCTTTGACTGGTGATGTATCTTGCTTGAATACGAACTAAAATTTTGGTAATTTTTTTTCCATTTTCACCAATCGCTGTCACCGACATTAAGGTATCGATTCGGACATAAAATGCAAAGAAAAAGGAAACGAAGTTACTTTGGAGATTAAGAAATGCCATTTCTTTTGCATGAAAACAATGTCTCAAAATGACGTGGAAACTCTGATGCGTCTATTATGAGAAACAGAAGTTACTCAAAGTTATGTCAATCAAAATATTAATTGAAATAACTATGGAAAGAGTTGCCATATTATATTTCTGAAATTATCTCAGGAAACAGAAAGGCACGACTTTGGACGCGGGTCGAATTTTAAAGGGAAATCAGTGAGGGTTGAAATCAGTCAATTTACGCCTAGTAATGATAAAACGCCATGTGTGATGTTTTGATGAATCCGTGACATTTGCATCCTTTTGTCATGGATTGCAAAACTGAAGATTAAATAAACAAAACTAGGCTCCAAAAGTAAGCTCTTTTGCATTGAAAGAACCACATCATCGAAATCCTTCTAGAGACTTGTCATTATTTAACGCTTCAAGGGAGGGGAGGGGCTGTAGGATTTGAGGGGGTATCCCTGGCAGGGTTACAGTTGATGGGGGTGGGGGGGAACAGTCGTTGCCAACAGAGTATGAAAGGGGTAATGTAGAAAACTGATGACTAATAAACTGCCAATCATAAGAATATTATTTACGTATCAAGTAAATTTTTGTCGTGACACAACCAATTGCAAAATCCTCCAAACCCACCCCCCTCCCTCAGGCGATAATTAATGACCGGTCATTACAACTAGCAGGTCTGGTTTCCATTGTGTCATCGTCATGTCCGCAAGAGGAAAAGTTATCGCCGAAAAAGTTGAAAATGGACACCGCTTTTGTGAATATCTCTTCCACTCTAGAAGAGCCTGTTACAATATTAGGGATATCTTCAAATTGTTATAAGGTAAAAAATAACAGTTGAGTTTACGTTCGCGGGTATAACTATACATATTCATGCCCAAGAATATTAACGGTATTACAATTATTATAATAATAAGTTGTCATGAATTATTACTTTAGAAGGCATTGAAAAAATTTAAAGTGAAAAAAAAAAAAAAAAAATGAAAAAAAGAGTTCAAAAACAAAAACAGCCTAAACAATCATACGGGGTATCGAACCATTTTAGCCTGCGAAATGCGCCACAATCCACGAGACAGTGATAAAGATATCCATTTTGTGTTTCGTGAAAATTGGTGCTTCTTAACGCATTTATATATGTCGTTGCTGTCGATTCTTCCGCTAAATTCCCAAAAGAAATCGAACTAATTGCTCAAACAGCACACAAAGCAATGTAGGGTGACAAGATCGATAGCAATATCAAATGATATTCGAATGATTCCTTCCCAACTCCTTACAACCGTGCGTTCGTAAGTAAAGGGCAAGCGATTACAGACTACAGTTTTGGCCAATCGCAATAGTCAAGAGACCATAAGCAGTTCATGTTCTGGCTCTTGCAAAAGTCAAGTATCAATTGAAATGAATTCATTATCATAGACGTTTTCTAAATTTTTTTCCTTTCTATCTTTCTTTTTTTTCTTTTTGTTTGTTATTGTTGTTCTTGTTGTTGCTTTTTTTTTGTAGTGCCCGATACAAGAAATTATTACCGAGCTTCTCAGTAGTGCTCCCATTGTCGTAAGCACGCATTACAGTTTTACCCTCTCTGTAAAAATGAAAAATGGATCTCAAGAGTTATGCAGGTTTGAAACTCAGTAACAATTTTTAAATTCAAGTAGGAAGCGCAATTTCAGGCAAAGGGTAGGGGGGAGTGGAG